TTTTCCTCATAGGTTAACTGTGTCATTGGTGGTGGGAGAAGCTTCAAAACATTCTTGGACTTATCATTTCACCTTTTAGGGCATTAGTCTACAAGTGCTATGTTTACCATTGCTTCATCTAAGAGTTGGGAAAATGCTACTGGGTGTGGGAGCTTAGGAAGAAAAATCAGGCCAGAGCAGAATGCTTTCTTTGGCCCCTCTAATCTCTTCTTACTGAGCCTCCAGTCCCATAATAAAAGGTAGTCAAAGTTGTCCCTTCATCAGAGGAGCTCCAAGCTCACGATCTAGGAACATTTGAAAGCACCACTGCAAGTCCCAGTAAAACTAAACAATAGAAAAGGCAAAAAAAAAGATAGCCTAATTTATTAAGTTCATCAGATAATCACTTTTAAGAGATGAGCATAGAGCAAGTGGGAGCTACAGCAACACAAAGTCTAGCCTTAGGGGCCAGGCATGAAAGTAAATTTAAGGCAGAGCTATTGGGAAGTGGGGCTATACTCAGACCCCTGCTCTGGTTTCAGTCTGTCAGTGTTTTAAAGAAAAGTGTTCTTCTCTGTGCTGCAGAGGACCTTCTGTTCCACACTCATGGAAGGGACCCAGTATCACGGTTAAGACCCAGCACACTTTCTGATTTAGCTCTAACCAGGGGGTCATCAGTGAAAAATTAGAGGAGAAAAGGAATCAGGCTGGGTAGAGAGGCAGAGCTTATAATGTTTGAGCATTCACTATATGCCAGGTGCCATTCTAAACATTCTATTGATTGACTCTGAAATGTTCACAAGAAACTTATAAGATAGGCACTATTATTATTCCCATTTTTCAGATGAGGAAACTGAAGCACAGAGAAGTTGGGCAACTTGCCTAAGACCAGACAGCTAGTAGTGGCAGAGTCAGGATTTAGACAACAGTATTCTGGCTCCAGAGTCAATGTTCTTAAACATTATGCTATACTGCCTCTACCTCTTTTTCTACTTTTCATTTAAAGACAGCTGACAGCTCTAAGCAAGGAGAAATATTTCACCTTCTATATATAATCTTGCTCAGACACAAGACTTCAGAGTGGACCCAGGAGGAGAGGGATATGAAAGGCTCTTAAGTTGTGAAAATTCATTTCCCAAAGCAGGGCAATGGGACATAAATCATGAGCCCAGAACATGTGGGGGCAGTGATAAGTCATAGAAATGCTGTTTCTATTTGGGGTAGGAGATTTAGTGGAAATCTTCTTTTAAAAATGCAAAATCAAAAGTTAGGCAGTTGCTGAGTGGAATTAGACATGGAAGAAATTATCAAACTTGGACCAAAAAGGTCCCTTTCTTCCTCTTCCCTCCAGGGAAGTATAGGAGTTGTGAAAGGAAGGAGGCAAGTTATGAGCAAAAGGAAAAATTCAATGAGTTAATGTCAGAAGTCTCCAGTCAGATAGAGCCTATGACTCTAAAGGAAAATGAATGCCCTTCCTTACCTTTATCATTAATACTAGTGGCCTGGTGCATGAAATTCATGCACATTAAAAGGGGATTAATTAGAGGAAATATTTTAATATTGTATTTGCCCTTTCTCTATAATAGAAGTGTCAAAGATGAAAGAAAATTAGTAAAATATATATGAAAATCTTCCTCCTGTCAGAGTCTGGGGCACACCATGGGACCCAAAGTCAAGTTTCCACCCACCCCATATGCCTCAAAATTGCATAAGACCCAGACCTGGCCGGCCTGCCCTGCCATTGGCTAGATCCAGACCTGGCCGATCCCACCTTTGTTAAGCCCCACTGGGCGGGGGGCACAGCCTCAGGCCCCCTGGCCCAGCACCAGGGTGGGGGATGTGGCTCCTGGCCTGGCACTGGGGCAGAGGTTGCAGCCTGAGGTCCCCCAGCCTAGCACTGGTGGGGGGGGCATGACCTGAGGTACCCCGACCTGGGCTGGTGTGGGGGGAGCACTTTGAGTTCCCCATCTAGCCCCACCAAGCAGGGGGCACGGCCTCCCCCCCCCGTCAAGCCCTGCCAGGTGGGAGGCGTGGCCTGAGGTCCCCTGGCCTGATGCCAGGGTTGAGGGCACAGCCTGGGGTCCCCTGTAAAGCCCCACGGGGGTGGGGGGGAGCGCAGCCTCAGGTCCCTGCTGATTGCTTGTTAAGGCTCATTATGGGAACTCTGCCTTCACTGTGGGTGCAGCCATCTTGTGTTACAGAATCCCCCGCCTCTGCTGTAGACACCACCATCTTTGTGGCAAAGTGACAGTCAATTTGTATATTCCCTCTTTATTATATAGGATGCCAAGTGGCAAGCCAGGGCATACGAGCAGTCAAAGGCCCAATGATAACATACTGCCTCCTGAACAGAGTTCCCATCTGAGCCTAACTCTCACATATAAGTGCTTTAAAAAATTGAAGTTTTTGTTTTGTTTTACAATAATTAAGGCAAGTCAGTCTTGCTTTCTTTAGGTAGTTTCACTGTAACTTCCTTTGAATTATGATTGATGAAATCTCAGTTTTTTAAGTAGTGAAAGAAGAGAGCAGAATTAGGCCCACTGCCAGACCCCAAGGGGCTAGCTCCACCCTGACCCTGTCCATACCTCTGCTTCTGTTCTTCTCTGTTCCCTTCTCTGCCACTCTCCTCCTAACTATTCAGTCTTCCAGCTGGCTAGGTAACTTCCAAAGCATTCTGATTGCCCTGTTTTGTAAACTAAACTTATTTCTTTGGGATATTTTAGAAGAGAGGAAGCATTCCTTCCTTGGAATCTTCATCCTTGCAGGAAGCAGATTAGTAGTATAGAGTCAGACCTTGATTCAAATACTAACTCTTGCCTTGACTTTCCTCTATAAAAAGGTAAATTTTCCTACTTCATAGGATTCTTGGAGAAATTAAAGCAATAATATGTAATATATCTAGCATAAAGCCTTCTACACAGAAGTTATTAAACATATACTAACTAGAGGTCTGGTGTACAAAATCATGCATGGGGGGGAGGATCCCTCAGCCTGGCCTGTGCCCTCTCACAGTTTGGGAGCCCCACGATTGATAGATCGCCCCAAAGAGGTAGGCCCCGCCCACCTGCCGCAGCCTGCTGGTCAGTGGCCTGGGCCTCCCTCTGCAGGGCGATCATGGGGTGATGGCCAGGCCCCTGACCAATCGCATCACATCTGCCTTGGCTGGCTTGGCGCCAGTGTGTGCAATAGCATGGTTGTCCGGAAGGTCATCTGGACGGTCGTTCTGTTGTTCAGTCGTTTAGTCTATTTGCATATTACGCTTTTATTATTATAGATAGCTGCTTGGCCCAAATAGCCCTGGGGTTAGGTGCTCTAAGGGGTCTGAATAGTACTTTGTAAGTTGTGAAGCGATGTATATTAGTTGATGGTGATATTACTGCTCAAGATCATATACTAAGTTATCAGCAGAGCTGGAGCTAGAGCTCAGGTCTCTTGACAGTTTAGTGCTATTTATATTGTATCACTGCTTCATACAAACAAGAGAACACCAAGAGTTACAGGATGGGGATTCCTATAACTGAAGAAC